TGGTGACGAGCGTCACCGTGTCTGAAACTCCAGCATCGACTAGTTAGATGTGTATAAACATTATGTTATCATATGTACTCTAAATTCAGACTGTTAGAGCACTCAAACACACATTTAATAGCATCCAAACAGATCAATAAAACCTGGCTCAATAAGTTCACAAAACAACATCAAAGCAACTGACAACTGACTCAAAAGAAAAACATAAAAATGACTCAAGTGAAAATAAAAGAAAAGCGGAAATCAGGAACAAGTAACCGGATAGTAGAGGATCTAATCCTCATCCTCGTAAGGCTCAGTAGTGTAGCGGAGGCGGACACAGCCACAGTTGTTGAGTGTAGACCCAACATCTCATAGTCCCTCAAAGCTGTCACTAACGTACTCCTGAAAAGCAGTCATATCCATGGGCGTGTAAGGTCACGGAGGGTGCCTGAAAGCAGTGGGTGTGGTCGTGGGTGCAGCCTGGCGTCTGGATGGTCCAGCCTGAGCAACAGCAGCAGAAGAGAAAGCGCCAACAGTGGCTCCTCTAGGACGCTGTGGAAGAAGGCGCAGCAAACTCGGATCTGGCAGAAAACGCAGTTGGCGTCTGTCGCCATGGATCGTGGTGAGCTCCGGGTTTGGCAACTGTATGCCAATATATTCTCCAGTACGAGTGGTGAAAGTCCAGACCAATCGCTGCTTGAACCAAGTAGCAATGCGCAGATGTGTCTCCTCCATGAGAGTCCTCTCAGTGATGATGCTGCAAGGTGATGTATCAATCTGAAAGTGCTGGAAAATTGGTGTAAGAAGACTGCCAACGCTCTCACTCTTCTTCCCCGGACTGGAGAATGGTTTGGTCTTCAAAGAGACCAAATGCTCAGTGAAAATAGCCTCAAAGTTGGCGCGGACCATGCTATCCATGGGTATCTCATCAGCCAGCATGTCAGCGAAACCGTAGTAGAGCAGGACTAGCTCGCTGACACGCATCTTGCTCGGCGCAGACTTGCACAAGATGGTGTTGCCGAGAATGCGCAGAATATACCTCATAACGGGATGTCGAACGTCCGTCTGCGTGCTCGTCTTGCTCTCATAGACTCCATTCCCGAACTTGGACCAGAATGTCTGCATGTGGGTCCATTGCGACAGAAGGAGAACGCCTGTAGGGTGGTTAGAAAAACCATAGATCCTGCAAAGCTCAAACAGACTGATCCTGTAGCGAATCCGCGGATCAGAAAAGTCATCGTGCCCTCCTTTGCTCGCTTTGTCATGTCGTTTGTGTAGTACACGCGAACGATGGAGAGAAACTGTCTAACCAGATCGGGGTACAGATTGTACTGCTGTAACGCCATTGTGCCCATCCCGATCCTCTCGAGAATCTGCAAAACATCATCCAGAATACTCATCTTCCACAGCACTGTAGTGTCCATGAATCTGGTGAGAATGATCTTCACCTCCTGCCACGCATTGTAGAACAGCGTGTCATACTCATCCCACTCCTCCTGAATATCGTGGAACACACAGGTATCCCACACCACTTTCTTCTTCAGAGTCCCTGTCCAAGCAACTCCAGAAGCGATTTTTTGATCTTCTCGCTTTGGCCATGCAGGCCTGCAAACTAGTCTACTGCTATCTGATTGCGCTGAACCTGATCCAGTGCTCGAAGACGATGCTGGTCGCTGTCTCTTCTCATGTCGAGGTATCTGAAAATTTAAACCAAGAACAACCAAAAATCCACCAAGATTAGCCAATTTTCTAAAAATTCAAAAAATCAATGAATTATGGTGAATTAACTAATGGCGATCAACAACAATACTACAAGGAACACAATTCAATCATAACTTCAATCCAGATCACCCAAAAATTTCCAGATTTTTGTAAATTTCATCATGAACTCAAAAATTTCAAAAACTTGCAAATCAACCGATAAAATCACATATGGATGATAGCATTCATCTAATACAACCTAGATTCAACAGTTAAATCAAGCTAATCAAGTCAAAAATCGAATTTAACCAATCCTATGGCGGACTGAAAACTGGAGATTCCGAACACATACCTTGCAGATCTTGAAAACTGATTAGAGATTATGAAAGAGCACTAAAATCCGCACGGATTATGCTTTTGAATCACTCAATTCGGTTAAGAAAATCAAAAGTTGCAAATTTGGTGATTTTTGTGTTTTAAGTGTTCGATATTCAGTTGTGTCGCGAGGAAGAAGAAGAAAGAAATAAGTAACATAGCTTGGCCTCGGACGGGTGACGAGTGTCACCCCTAAGGGTGACGAGCGTCACCCGTAAACGTCCTGTTTCCTTTTATTTTTATTTTTTTTTAGCTTAAAACTTACTAACTAAATAACTAAGTAATTATATGTACGAAAATAAGTACTAAATATAAAACTTACCAGTGGGTTGCCTCCCACTAAGTGCTTGTTTAACGTCATTAGCTTGACTTTGATTGATGTTTAGACAACTGGTGCATCATCCAGAGACACAATGTGTCCTGCTGCAATCTTGGCTTGCACCCAATAATGCTTCACCCTCTGTCCATTGACAAAGAACTCCTCTCTTTTGGAGTTAATCAAGACAATGGCGCCATGTGGTCTAGCCTCTTTGACAGTGAAGGGACATGAACAATGAGAACACAGTTTACCAGGATACAACTGTAAACGAGAGTTGTAAAGGAGTGACTGGTCGTTAGGCTCGAAATGTCAGGAGATGATCTTCTTATCATGATATGCCTTTGTTCTCTCCTTGTATAACTTGGAGTTTTCATAGGCCAGATAATCTGATATCATCCAGTTCATTGAGCTGAATCAAGCGCCTCTCTGCAGCAGGCTTCAGATCAAAGTTCAGCTTCTTGATAGTCCATTCTGCTTTGTACTCTAGCTCCACTGGAAGATGGCACGCCTTGCCATAGAGCAGATGGAATGGTGTAGTTCCAAGGAGCGTTTTGTAGGCTGTCCTGTAAGCCCACAATGCATCATCCAATTTCGCTGACCAATCCTTCCTTGTCTTCCCAACTGTCTTTTCCACGATCTGCTTGATCTGTCTGTTGGAAACCTCAACTTGTCCACTGGTCTGGGGATGATAAGGTGCGGCCACTCTGTGCTGTACACCATACTTCTTCAGCAGCTTTTCAAAGACCTTGTTAACAAAGTGAGAACCACCATCATTGATAACAACTCGTGGAACACCAAATCTGGGAAAAATAATGGTCTTAAACAGCTTCAAAACCACTGCAGCATCATTGGTAGGAGTAGCCAACGCCTCTACCAACTTAGATACATAGTCAACAACAACCAGAATGTATTTGTTCCCATAAGATGAAGGAAAAGGACCTATGAAGTCAATGCCCCAACAATCAAAGACTTCAACCTCAAGAATGAAGTTTTGTGGCATCTCATGTCTTCTGCTAATCTTTCCTCTCCTCTGACATGTATCACAGCGTGTGATGAATGCTTGTGCATCCTGAAACATAGTAGGCCACCAGGAACCAGCTTGAAGAACTTTGGAGACTATTTTGAATGTGGCAAAGTGTCCAGCATACTCTGAGCCATGACAGTGAAACAGAACGTCTGGAACCTCAGCTTCTGCAATGCATCTCCTATAAATCCCATCTGCACAATGTCTGTAAAGATATGGCTCATCCTAGTAGAATCTCATAAGTTCTCTCAAGAACTTCTTCTTAGCATATCCCTTGAAATCATGTGGTTCATCCTCTGCAGTAAGATAATTGGCAATATCAGCATACCAGGGTCTCTAGAGATCAGTAGTGGCATACACATGCTCTTCAAAAGCAGCTCCCAAGCTAGCACAGATCATTGCCAACGTCAGAGTTGGGTGACGAGCGTCATTGGCTTCGTGCCTAAACTGCATCGTGATTCTGCTGAAGTGGTGACGAGCGTCACCCCCTGGTGTCGCTCGTCACTGCCCAAACTCCATAACCACATCTAGGATCCTTGCTTTTATTAATTAAATTTCAAATTTATTTAGAGCTCTGTTTTGTTTGCTTGATCATTGCCAAATCATTGCTTTCATTAGTCTTGCTTAGTTAATGGTTCATTAGGTTGCTAGTTTAAAACAATCTCTTCTATTCCTGTTTGACTTAGAATTCTTATTGCATTCTTAGTGTATTCATCTTAGACCTATAGATTAACAAAAATCCTTTCTACAATGACTACAGTAAGTTGGGTGATTAAGATAGTCTAAAAGCCTACTTAACAACTGCATTATTTATTTAATCTGTATTTTCTATATCTACTTTCTATTCAAAACCAATAACTAAAACTACAACAAATTATTAATTATAAATCTCCGTGCTAATAACACCCAGATTACTCTATTTTATGCACAAAATCTGTCATATTGGTTTTTGTAATTAATTTTTGTTAATACTATTTTGTTAGTTCCTTTTTAATCATATTTTGAAAGTGTATCTCCTAATTAAAATTTTCCTCAAATATTGTCATCCACCAAATTCACCAAAAGTTTATGTTACATTAACATTTGTGTATTTTTCCAAAAGTTTATGTTACATTAACATTTGTGTATTTTTCTTCCTTCTGTCACGCATTAAAATTCGTATTCAGACCAATATTTTCCACTTTTTTCTTTTAATTATTTTAAAAAGAAAAGGTTTACATTTCGGTCAAAATGAATATATCTTGCTTTTTTGGCTAGATGAACTTTGGAAACCCCATTGTCTTGATCAGCCGCTACTAGATTTGACACGGTGCACCTAAAGATCCTAAAGCCACCGGCTATTACCGGTTAATACGGGCACTGTATTAGTTAATAAAACTGAGAAAGCGTCCAGATACATAGCTCGCAAATAACCGGTATCCGGTAATCTTCTCAAAATCATTTTCCTTCGCGTTTATGTGTTCGCTCTGCTTCTTCCTTCTCTCTTACCAAATCCACAGGAAAAAAAAAAGTGATTCGAAAAATTAAGAAAAATTTCATATTAATCTGCTCCATTAAAGCTCTCTCTGTAGCTGCTGTAAGATTAGTGTTCCAGTTTGTATGGATTTGAGTCGTTCTCAAGCCAATTTTACATTAGGGTTTGGTTGTTCCCACGCATCATCAATGGGTCCGACTCCGAGAATCCCGATTGCAGACGATTCGATTAATCTACAAGTCGATCCGAGTTTCCGATCATCGCCGGCCACCTTTTCTCCTATTCCATTGCAATTACTCGAACAAAAGGTCGAGAAGATCACCGTCGAGGAGCCAAAGAAAGATGAAGATCAAAAGGAGGACGAGCATTTCAGAATCTTAGGTCACCATATGTGTCTGAAAAGGCAACGAGACTGTCCACTTTTAGCTCAATCGAAACATCCGAGGAGAACAATCGGTGACACAGATCTGGAATCGAGACGTGCTGCTGTTCGTGCTTGGGGAGATCAACCTCTTCATTTGGCGGATCCAGATATACACGAGATCATGGAGAAAGAGAAGCAAAGGCAAGTGAAAGGAATCGAGTTGATTGCTTCTGAGAATTTCGTGTGCCGAGCTGTAATGGAAGCTTTGGGAAGCCACTTGACGAACAAATACTCTGAAGGCATGCCTGGTGCGAGATACTACACTGGGAATCAATACATCGACCAAATTGAGAATCTCTGTATCGAACGAGCTCTTACTGCGTTTAGTCTCAAATCTGACAAATGGGGTGTTAACGTTCAGCCTTATTCTTGTACCTCTGCGAATTTCGCAGTGTACACCGGAATTTTACTTCCCGGTGAACGGATTATGGGGCTTGATTCTCCTTCCGGAGGTCACATGAGTCATGGCTATTGTACGCCTGGTGGGAAGAAGATTTCGGCTGCATCAATCTTCTTTGAAAGCTTTCCTTATAAAGTGAACGCACAAAGTGGATATATTGATTACGATAAGCTTGAAGATAGAGCGCTTGATTATCGTCCCAAGATTCTTATATGTGGAGGGAGTTCGTATCCAAGGGACTGGGATTTTGCAAGGGTTAGACAAATTGCAGACAAGTGTGGAGCTATTTTGATGTGTGATATGGCTCATATTAGTGGTCTTGTGGCGACAAAGGTTTGAATCATCTGCTTGCTTTTATTGATATGTTGATTAGCTCTTGAATTCTCAATGGTTTATATTGAATGTCTAGCACTTGAAAGCCTGTGTTAAAGCATTAGTATTGGCCAGTTTCAATTTGGTTAAGGTGATACCAATATGTGAGACTCAGTAACTATCACTTCATAGTAACTCAAGTTTTCAGCGGGACTCAGTAGCTTTGTGAAAAATGGTTCTAAAACTTTAGATGGTTGACTACTTTCTATCTTTCGTGTGGTGAGTTTGGAATGATTAGTAGTTTAAAACTTCTTATACTTAGTGGATAACTCATAAATACATTTGAGAAAATGAGAGCAACTAGCCTCGGTGTACCTTTTCATGTCACGGAGTGATTAGTGATTAAGAGCTTCTAATACTTGGTAGTAATTGAATTGAAATGTGTCGGTCAATATTATTATTATTGACATTTCTTATGATTCTGCTCCAGGAAAATTTGTTCTGAATTTTGTCTGGTGTTTTTGTTACAGGAATGTTCAAATCCATTTGATCACTGTGACATAGTTACCTCAACTACCCACAAAGGTCTACGTGGTCCTAGAGGAGGTATCATCTTCTACAGGAGAGGACCAAAGATCAGAAAGCAAGGCCATCACTCTAGTCACGGCGACAATTCCACGCATTACGATTTAGAGGAAAAAATCAACTTTGCTGTTTTCCCGTCGCTACAAGGAGGTCCTCACAACAACCATATCGCAGCTCTCGCCATTGCCTTGAAACAAGTGGCAACTCCAGAGTACAAAGCTTACATACAACAGATGAAGAAAAACGCTCAAGCTTTAGCATCCGCTTTGCTTAGAAGAAAATGCAGACTGGTTACAGGTGGCACAGACAACCACTTGTTGCTGTGGGATCTCACTCCTTTTGGCTTAACAGGTACTAAAATCACTCACCCTACCGACTCATCTATCCATATCCAGAGTTTTTGGCTGATTATGTATGCATCGGGCTTTCGGTTTTTGCAGGGAAAGTCTACGAGAAGGTGTGTGAGATGTGCCATATAACCTTAAACAAGACTGCTATATTTGGTGACAATGGTACAATATCTCCTGGAGGTGTAAGGATAGGTAAGCTCACAGATCGATTTGCATTTCACGTTCATATCTATATCGCTTCGTTGCCTAAACTTGAGGTTCTTTTATCAATAGGGACACCGGCGATGACAACCCGAGGCTGTATAGAGCCTGATTTCGAAACAATAGCGGATTTTCTTATCAAGGCGGCTCAGATAACGAGTGCATTGCAGAGAGAACATGGCAAGTCACACAAGGAGTTTGTGAAGAGTCTATGCACCAACAAAGACATATGTGAGCTTAGAAACCGAGTCGAAGCATTCGCTTTGCAGTATGAGATGCCTGCTTCTCAGATGAATTGAATGAAAGAATTCACCAAACAGCTTTCTTTTGTTTTCTCCGGGGGCATTTTTTTTTAGTTCTTTCCTGTAAATTAGAGTAAATATATAGTATTATTTTTCTTGAAATTGATTGCATACTTTCTTTACTTGTAATTCTGTACACAGTTCGATGGGGTGGGATAATCTAAAAATATGTTTCTACAGTCAATTTTCCTCTTTTAAAAGTTCATATTATTTTTTAGCTAAATTTTATTTCATAGCAACAACGTAGGATAGTAAGACTAGAAACCGAAGTTACAATATCCACGACCAATAAGCCTGAAAACTCAGAAAAGCTTAAGATACACCAGGACAGATACAACCAGGAAAGATGATGAAGAATAGTAGACGTGACACTACCAAGCTTAGAGCAGCTCTATTGATAAGTATTTCAACTTACGGTATCTTACATAAATTTTATTAAAATAGTTTTATAATCTAACTATTATTAAACAAGCTTAGAGCAGCTCTATTGATAAGTATTTCAACTTACGGTATCTTACATAAATTTTATTAAAATAATTTTATAATCTAACTATTATTAAACAGTAAGCATTCCAGGCTGTCATTACCTTCTTTTTTTGAGATTTTAATTGTTTTCTATGTTTTCTATTTCTCAATTATCTCAAAATATTAATTCTTTAATATTTCTAAAACTAATTACTTATTCTTGCATCCAAACACTACTGCATTTGAGCGTGCATTCTTATATAATTAACTCATCTTTGTCTCTATATAATCATTTCAGCCTCTCTTCTTTTTTTTATAAATTATATCTTTGTGGTTCTCAATCCCTCTCCATGAAAAGATCTAATGGTGAGAAATTGTCTTAATCCTTTATGTATGTCGAAATATAATATTCGTGACACTTATTACAACAGGTTTTATATATGATTTTTTTCTGACCATGTAGCGGCTAATGTTTTGCCATTCCATCTCTCCCAATCGCCTACAAAAGGAACATTAGTTTCATCCAAGTTGCTCGGTTGAATGGAATGTAATCAGGTTTACCCTGAAGCAAGGGAATTAACATACTCTGAATTCCCTTCTAAGTGGGTATGGGATGTCAAGAATAAGCGATGGGTTCGTTGTCGGGGTTCATCTTCACCAAGTCGTTTGGTGTATTGTCGTCACAACGATGGAGAGATCTATTACTTGCGTGATTTTTTGCTGTTCGTGAAGGGTGCGTCTTCTTTTCAGGATATCAGGACAATCAACGGTGTTGTTTACCCTACTTTCAAGCTTGCAAGTCTCGCTTTGCATCTGTAAGTATGATAAGTACACCGAAGATTTTAAATGGTTTTAATAAATAAATGTTGTAATCGAATAACACAATAATTTCTTTGGTTCTTCATTGGAACTAAGTTATTATTTTTACACCATTTGTTTCGTTCCTATGAAATTTATTCAGTAATTCCCAGTAATTTTAAATGTTGTATTCTAAATTTATTCAGTAATTCCCAGTATGAATGTTTTAATGCAGTGTGTAAGATGTTTTGGTTAAAAGATTGCCTAAAAATTCAAATCTTATGTTCCACTTATTTAAAATATAAAAGACGTTTATTTTACATTCGTGATTTTAGATTTACTATGCAGCATGTTATAGATTTTCTATCACGTCGATATCGAAAGTATAGTAACTAAGTAACTCATATAAATGTAATAACTCAGTAATTTTAAACTGAATCACAAAACTTGCCTATATTTCCGTACTAATAGTTATTTAAAATCTAAAGTTCATTAATTATAATATACTAAGATACTAAGATATCCGCGGGTTTCTATAGTAAATTATATATTTGCAATCCCCTCGATATCAAAAGTATAGTATCTTAACAACTTCTTCTAATTTTCCAAAATATTCTTACTCGATCTATCAAATCTGTCGTTGATATTATTATCGACTAATATTTTCTGTGAGATATAGAAATCTGTTAGCAGCATTACATCTTACTTAAAATTTAAATTATTAATTATAAGTTACTCAAATGAACCTTTCAAATATCGAATCTTCCTATATTAGAAGATCTTATAGAAATCTGTTAGCAGCATTACATCTTACCTAAAATTTAAATTATTAATTATTAGTTCCTCAAATGAACCTTTCGAATATCGAATCTTCCTATATTAAAAGATCTTATGTTCCTATCAAACTAATCTGTTATTATTGCGAGATTCAGTATTATTACGGACTATTATTGTTAGCAGCATTACATCTTACCAAATCTATCATATCAAACTAAATATGAACTAAATATTTTTTTTTCCCGTCTATACTGCATCTTTAGCAAGAAAATATACCGCATCTTTAGCAAGAAAATAGTAACTCCTGATTTCCCAAAAATCACTACCTCATACTTAACCTACATTTCAATAATGACTATATATTGGACCCCTCATCCCAACTCAGAAACAAAACACGCAGAAAGCTAGAGTCAAGACAATACATTTCTAATGGCTGATATCATTGATGTTTCTGCCTTGAAACCTTACAAAACTCAGTGTCGTATCCATGTGAAGATCCTAAAATTATGGAAGCAGTTTCTGAACTGGGTCCCGTCTTGGAAATGGTTGTTGTTGATGTCAAGGTATTTATCTTTCTATTACGTTTATTCGTTTTTGTTTTACTATGCTTAAGATATGTTACATGCTGATTTATAATCACTTTCAAACAGAATCAAACCATGCATGTTACGGTGAAAAAAGAATTTATCAAAAAATTCGAGAATATGCTTGAAGAAGGTCTGTCTAAGATCATCTCAAACTTCCAAGTAGTTCATAATGGTGGAAAATTCAGAACCTCATCGCATGCCTATAAAATTCAGTTTGCATCTACTACTTCTGTGAGGCCTGCTACGGATCTATCAGAAAATGTTGTAGGTTTAAAAATTTGCAATTTCGTGGAAACATGAATCCAGTTTTCTTGATAGGTAACATTTTATGATTTAATAAGTTATAATATTGTAGAATTTCATATTCCTTATTAAACCATATTTTTTTTCAGATGTTGTAGGTCAGGTTTTGGATATTGGTGAGGTTGAAATTTTGAATGTGAATAAGACGCAAACAAAGCGTCTTACAATGACCCTTCGGGACAATGTGTAAGTTTCATGTTCATCTAAATCATATGTTATTTTTATACATTTTACTTTTTAAACGAATTTGGTATAGATTAAATACATATTATTTATACATATATATAGAGATGTGCGGTTGAGTTGTGTCCTATGGGGAAGCTATGCTGACCAGTTGGAGAGCCATGTTCAGGGTTTGAACGATGTTGTCGTCGTTGTGGTCTTACGTTTCAGGAAGTTGCGGCTTTACCAAGATTATTATAAATTATAATATTATAACGTCTACTAATATATGGTAGATAATTATGAATTTTGTATATTGTGGATTAAACTAAATGAATACGGTAATACAAATGCAGGTACTTGGAGTGTGGGTAATTGTTACAGTGCCTAGCATCATGATGGTAAATCCAGATTTGCCTGAGATAATATCTTTCAGAGAAAAGTAATGTCTCTAAATACTATGTTGTTAATATTAATTATATTTAATAAGATTCATTATTTTCTCTGGATATCTCATGTAGGTTGCCAACTGATGGGTTAACTTTAACTTACACTCACCCTAATCAGTTAACTGTGGTTAATTCGATATCAGTTAGAGATGATTTCATCCTCCATAGTCCAAGAATGACTATAAATGAAATCATCAGTGCATCCGAGGTTAGCAGAGCCGTTTCTCTTCAACAATATAATTCATAATTTTGAACAGTATTTTATTAACTAACCGTGATTCGTTTGTCTCTATTTAAGCAGGTTACCAAATGTGTGACCATGTGTACAATTATGTCGATTGATACAGAGTTTGGTTGGTACTATATGGCACATAAATCATGTGCCAAGAAAGTTCTTCCGCATGACATGGAAGCAATGAAGGACAAATATCCAGGGAGGTCTTTCAAAAAACCGTTATGGAAATGCGAGAAATGCAATAAAGATGTTGATGATATTGTCCCAGCGTAAGAATTTTGTGTTTATCAATTATTTCATTCATATCGTTCTCTCATAATTTTCAAAAATTATTACTTTGCGGAGAATTAATCTTTGCAATTTTATAGGTTTATGTTGACATTTCGTGTGATGGATGATAGTGGTGAGACAAAGTTTTTGCTTTTCGATAAGGAAGCAATGGAAGTAGTCAACCAAACCGCTGCACAACTGACACAATCAGTTGATGAGGTATGATAATATTAAATCTTATTTTTGTGAATCAATGATATTAAATCTTATGTTTTTGTACCAAATTTTAAAACTTTCAGGTGCAGGATCCAAGTATCCTACCTTTGGCATTGACTAATATATGTGGTAAAATATACCTATTCAAGATTTCTATTCAAAGTTCAAATATTGTCTTCAACAACCCTTCTTACAAAGTCGTAAAGATTGTTACTCAAAGTGATATTGTCAAAAAGTTCTCTGAAGTTTCTGCAAATCAGGTCTTTTAAATACTGAAAAATACATTATTCTATCATGATTTACGGTTTCATTTGTTATCTGTGCTATGCTAAATTAAGACTTTGAATAGCAGAAGACTCCTGATGCTCAAGGCATACCACGTAGCCTCATGTGGGTTGACGAAAAGGTAATCTTTTTATCATCATACTATATTGTTTTTATTTTAGTTAGCTTCTTATTAATATATACAAAATTGTAGGTACCTATTCTCAATATTGAAGGTGTTGATGAAGACGCAACTCCTACTTCGAAAAGGAAATCTACAGAATCCATTGAAGGTGTTGATAATAAAGATCAGCAATCCGTGTCCAAAAAAGGGTGTATAAGCAAGAAACAACCTCATGACGTCAAAATAATCAAGAAAGAAAAGGATGCTTAGGCATTTACTTTTGATTTTATTTGAGAATTCACCTATCTATTGTTTTTGTGGCTTTCTAAACTGTTTCTGAGTTTTTTTACATTTTGCTGCTTTGTTTTTGCATTTCTCTAAGTTCTTTGGATTATTCTTATTTATTACTATTCTTATGAAATTTATTATGGATGTTGATTATATTCTGTTTTTAAAATACTTTATTTATATTTCTATATAGCGTAGCTATTTTCTGTAATTTATGTACACCGTTAATTTTAAAAATATCTAACATGTTGATTCTACTATAATTTTAAAGGTTAAAAAATACCTGGTTTATAATTTGTCGAATAATTTCTCTTCTATTACAACATTGGATTCTTCTTCATTTCGAGGTAAAACCTGCATAAATAAATTGTATATGTATACTTAAATTAATTCATAGCCTTGCAGAAGAATTCAGAAGTTCAGAGCAATTGATTCGGCCGCTGAAATTTTGAAAATTTTACTGCCCATACTGAATCTTTTGTCAAATCGACTGTTGCCTTTTTAAAATTTCAAGGTAAAACTCACCAAAAGTTTTCAATTCTTGATATCTACATAGTAAAAGTTTGACTACATAAAACGTATCGATATATTAAATTAGATGAAGTTAATTTCCTCAATTTTTGTCTGCCCAAAAACAAACCCTATACGTTTTCTCCTATAAATACTCTCCACTTTCACAAAAATAATAATCTAATTTTCGGCTATTTATCCTCTCTTCATATTCTCTCTACTACTTCCGATAAAATGGTGTACTATGAATGTGTTGACGACTTAAGTTCTTATAGATCAAATTGGAATATCAGAGTTAAGATCCGTAGGAGTTGGACGGTTACGGCTCCTCAACAAGATGAAATATTTCATTTCATACTGGTTGATAAACATGTAAGTCAATATCTATATTACGAGTTAATCAACAGAAACAAGACTATAATTTCAAGAATTAAGATTTTACCTTTTACGTCTATTGTAGGGTCACAAGATCCACGCTTCGTCCGACCATCCTGTCGTTGGGCCATATTGTTTTAACAGTTCCATGTGGATGTTTTTACTATGATTGAGTCATCTAGGCTGCGCTATTTGAGGAATAACCAGAAAAAATTGCGGTCTGATAAATATGTGAATTTGGTTGAAGCTGGAAAAGAAGGAAATACTGATCTACATAAACAGGGAAAGCGAGTTTTGATTCCTGCATCCTTTACAGGTGGTTCACGTTATATGAATAACAATTACCTAGATGCAATGGCTATTTGTAAATATTTTGGGTATCCCGATCTATTTATCACTTTCACTTGCAATCCAAAATGGCATGAGATCACTAGGTATACAAAGAAGAGAAATCTCAAACCAGATGATAGGCCTGATATCTGTTGTAGAATATTCAAGATGAAGCTCGATAGTCTTATGTGTGATTTAACAGAAAAGAGCACTTTGGAAAAAGTCTGTGTGGTAAGTTTCATGTTTTAATATGTTATATTATTACCTATTCTTATCGGAAATTGCTTATTCAATTCAATCTAATTATGTGTTTTCTAATATATTTGCAGGAATGTATACTATTGAATTCCAAAAAAGAGGTCTCCCTCATGCTCATATATTGCTATGGATGGCTCTTAAGTGCAAATTTCCAACACCAGAAGCTATAGACAGGGTTACATCGGCCGAGATTCCAGATAAAGAAACTGATCCTCATCTTTACGAAGTTATCAAGCAAAATATGATACACGGACCGTGTGGACCACTTAATCCACTTTTCTCCGTGTATGGTTAATGGAGAGTGCTCTAAAATGTTTCCTAAGAAGCAACGCGAGACTACATCAATCGATAGTAATGGATTTGCACATTATCGAAGGCGAAACACAGAAGCTTTTGTTGAGAAGAGTGGTATCTGAATTGACAATAGATTCGTCGTACCCCATAACAAGGAATTGTCATTGAAGTTCTGTGCTCATATCAATGTTGAATGGTGTAATCAGGCAAGATCAATCAAATACTTATTCAAGTATATTAATAAAGGACAAGATCGTGTGTTGGCTACTATTGAGAAGAACAACTCTACAGCTGATGATGGTAGCATTCACCAAGATAGCGATGGTAATAAAGAAGTTGTGAAAGATGAGATTAAAGAGTATTTCGATTGCAGGTTATATTTTATACCATAAGAGTAATATTCAATTGTTAACCTTATACGCTCACTTCTTTAAGGAACTAATTGATTTTCAAAAATTATAGGTATGTTTCAGCATGCGAAGCTACATGGCGTCTACTTGCGTTTCCAATACACTTCAGAACTACTCCGGTTGTCAAACTCACATTCCATCTTCCTAATGAGAATCTGATAATTTATGATAGCGATGATGATGCGGAAACCATTTTGAATCGCCCATCCGTTCAAAGCTCTATGTTTTTGGCATTCTTTGAAGCTTGCAAAAAGTATCCTCAAGCTGCTGATCTAACATATGCTGAGTTTCCTACGATGTTTGTCTATGCTAAAAAAAAGATGGAGTGGAGAGTAAGAAAAACTAAACGAGGTTTTGCACTTGGTAGACTAACCTATTATCCTCCATCGTGCGGACAGTTGTATTATCTTCGGGTACTACTAAACAGATGTCCAGGACCAAAATCTTATGATGATCTGAAAACTGTGAATGGTGTGTTACATGATAGTTACAAGGATGCCTGTTACGCATTGGGATTACTACAGGATGATAATGAATATATAGAAGGTTTAAACGAAGTAAGCATTTGGGTAATTGGTAGTTTTCTTAGGAAGCTATTTGTTATAATGCTGATTACAGATTGTTTAACTAATTCATCGGCTGTTTGGGATGAGACTTGGAGACTACTTTCCGATAATATTTTGTACAAGCGAAGAATAATTGAAAAACGTCCTGGTAAGTTTTACAACTTTTAAAATTTATTAACTTTCAAGGTCGGCAACTATTTACTAAGATATCTCATTTGATGAATCTTTAAATTATTGAGTTCAATCAGGTTACATTCCAATTTCAATATGTCTCTATATAGTGTATATATCTATTTATTTATATTTTTCTGTTTATTTCAGTTTTGACTCTTGACGACGACCAGATAAAAGAGTATACTTTGGAAGCAATTGACACTATCCTACACAGCTATGGAAGTTCACTAGAAAGTTTTGATGGAATGCCTACACCGTCTGAGAATTCCCACAATCCTGCAGTTAACAATTTGATTTTTGATGAGCGTAATTATGACAAATATGAGATGCTTGCAATCCATGATAACATGTTGCCTGGACTGACGGAAGAGCAGAGAAATGTATATTCAGAAATAATAGAGGCTGTCAACGAAGTTAAAGGTGGTGTTTTCTTTCTTTATAGGTTTGGAGGAGCAGGGAAAACACATATTTGGAAACTACTATCTGCTGCTATACGGTCTAAAGGACAGATCGTATTAAATGTTGCATCAAGCGGGATTGCAGCATTGTTATTGCCTGGAGGGAGAACAGCACATTCACGTTTTGGTATTCCAGTAAATCCAGATGAGTTTTCTACTTTCAATATGCAACCTGGATCTCACATTGCTGAATTAGTTGCTGAGGCATCACTTATCATTTGGGATGAAGCACCAATGATGAGTAGATTTTGTTTTGAAAGTTTGGATCGTAGTATGCGTGACATAATAAATAGACATAAAGATAAACCTTTTGGTAGTAAAGTTGTGGTTTTTGGTGGTGAGTTCAGACAAGTATTGCCAGTTATAAGTGGAGCAGGGAGAGAAGATATTGTTTTAGCTTCAATAAATTCATCTATTTTGTGGGAAAATTGCAAAGTACTGGAGCTTACCAAGAATATGCGACTCCTGGCAGATCTGGATGTTGCAAATGAAATTAAAGAATTTTCAGAGTGGATTCTTAAAATAGGGGATGGAAAGATGAATGAACCTAATACAGGAGAAGTTTTGATTGATATTCCAGAGGAGCTTCTAATTAAAGATTGAAATCATCCTATTGAAGCTATCGTTGATGCTGTTTATAGAGTTGGATTTGGAGATCAGTGTCATCCTAATTTTTTCCAGGAAAGAGCAATTTTATGTCCAACAAATGAGGATGTTGCAGTTATCAATGACTACATGTTGTCTCTTCTTCCAGGTATTAATATTAATTTATTTTTTCTGTACGGTTATGTTTTAATTTCAAGAACTTAGTTTCTGCTTTACTCATACAAATTATTTCTTAATTAAGGTGAAGAGAAAACATATTTAAGTTCCGATGGAATTGATCCATCTGACACCTCGAACCAGGACAGTGAAGTATATACACCAAATTTTCTGAATAATATAAGAGTTTCTGGTTTGCCTAATCATTCTATTAGACTGAAAATAGGTGTTCCAGTTATGCTACTCAGAAATATTGATCCAAAAGGTGCTTTGTGTAATGGAACACGTCTTCAGATTACTCAGCTAGGTAATCATGTTATAGAAGCTATAGTTTTGACAGGTGAGACAAACGGACAAAAGATTTATATTCCTAGGATGTGTGCTTCACCACCCGAAGGTAAATTTCCATTCAGGATGTGTCGAAGGCAATTCCCATTGGCGGTGGCATTTGCTATGACAATCAACAAAAGTCAGGGACAAACTCTTATAAGTGTTCGTCTTTATTTACCTAAACCTGTTTTCTCTCATGGTCAGCTCTATGTGGCCCTATCAAGAGTTAAATCTAAGGCAAGTTTGAAGGTTCTTATTATCGATAAAGAAGAGAAACCACAGAAGCAGACAATGAATGTGGTGTTCAAAGAAGTATTTCAATCTATATATCGGAAATATTAGAAAGCAGGTAAATACTTAACTCTTTAAGATCTAACATATTCAAGTTCACTATTTACTATATTGAAAGTTTGTCTTCTTTTTGTTTACAGGATTTCATATCAGTTCACATTTTTTCTAAGATCACTTCCGTTTATTGGAAGATAATCTTACTAGAAAGAAGGTAAATATTTTTG